CCAGCCTTTGTCTTTTTCTGTTTTTTTCAGCACTATGCTTTCCATCTTGAATATTTTTTCCAGAGCAATTTGGTAGCTGCAAACATTAACATTTCCTAGCATGATCTCACCTATCATAGGCAACTAGGGACAGACGTCAATAGTAGGAAAGGCCTCCAAGCTTGTAACATATAGGGCCGTAACATATCTGTGATGAGCTATGTGGCTGAGTCATGCTCGCGTTCCCATTAAAAAGCAGCAGAGAGCCGAATGAGTGAAGGAACAGTTCCAAATTCCCCATACCTTGGCCTCCGGGTGAAGGCTTTCTAACAGAGAGGTAGGCACTGCATACAAAGGAGCTGAGACCTTAAATGAACGCTGTCCTGGGAAGAAACAGGAATGAGAACAGCATAAAGTGAGACCCTCTGTAGAGAAATCATGGTCTAACTCCTAACGCTGAGCTACTGATGTCACCCCCTCATCCCCTGGACCCAGCTTTCTACAGATGCTATGAAGTGCATTTTGTCAAAAGCAGGTTAAGTTATAGTCAGGGGTCCATAAGCAAAGACCAAAAAGTGCCAGGGAGTAAGAAGTGGTTATGGAGGCTGTGGAAGTCAATGTTGTACCTTGCAGCAGAGGTAGAAGGTCCACCACAGCTTGGCCAAGAGGCACAGTCTTCTCCTTCTGTCTCTGGTCCCTTTGCAACACTTCTATCACTGTCACTAGAGAGATAAAAAGAGAGCTGGCAGAGTTTCTCAGACAGCTTCAGACCAGCAGTTCAGGGGCTGCAAAGGGTCTGTGTCAGCTCTGGCACATGCTCCTACTTCATCTCACAAGGCTGACAAGAGCAGCCAAGCCAAGGAGCACAGGCCTACATGAAAGGGGATTCTTCCAGCGGGCAGAGATGGAACAGAAGTGCTGAGACCCCCCCACTGCTGCTGCTGAAGTGCTATTCTTGAATGAATGACTCCTGCAGCAGGCAGGCAGAGCGGAGCAGCTGACAGCACCCACCTCCAAGGAGAGAGATTCAGCGTCAGGTACTTACAGAGCACAGGTTTTTGCGCAATGTCATCCAAGGAGTTGGGCCCATCAGGACTACACTCAAAGCTGGTCGTGAAATTATAGTTCGCTGTCCCATCTGGCAAGACATCAGTCTTGGAGGAGTCTCCCAAGATTGCTCCATTGAACTCTGCATGCACCAAAGTTACTGACACGTTGCTTTTGATAGTTTTCTGTCAAACAAACAGCGCATTGTGCAGTTGGCTCTGCAGCAACAGGCCCAGGATCAAAGTTGCCTCTGGCAGGCAACTCAGTTCAGCGCCCAGGACAGGGTTCACTGGTCAGGTCTTTAGCTGTTCTACCACAGGAATGGGGAAGAGGAGCAGAGCCCGGCTGTGCTGAGACCTCACCCTTCCCTGTTTTTAGGAGGGAAATTTCCTGCTCCGCTATGCTGTGCTGCCCCAGTGATTATCAAGACCAGCTGCTGGCAGGGCAGGGGAGATGGAGAGGTCCAGGCTTCACCCCAGGAAAGGCAACTAAAGACACATCTAAAGCTAATCCAAAAATACTCCAAAGATATTTTTGTGCTTCCAGGAAGCTTGAGACTAAGAAAGTAGCTCCTGAGCTACATGGCTGAGCTCAAAGGACACTTGTGTATATCGTCTGACTGCAGAATGCCCTGAAATCAAAGAAGGGCTCCAGCAAGCTATTTGGGGAGCTCTGCAATTTGTTGTTACACCACCTTCATATCACTTGCTTTAAGCAGAGATGAGGAGGTTCAAATTTTAAAATGTCTCTGCAGAGGGTCTTAAACATGGGTGACCAGGGATGGTGAGAGCACAGCACATGGCAGCAGGGATCCGCATGCCCGGGCAGCCCTGGCCAAGCAGGCAGCACCAGGCACCTCCACAGCAGCACAAGAAGTGCTGAGACAGACAGTTACCGAAGAGCCTCCCTGAAGGAGAAACACGGTTTACTTTATCCAGGGAAGAGCGGCTGCCGCCCTGACCACAAGGACCGTTGCACCCAAACCCAGCTTGTCTTTAGTCCTGAGCCACAGGGATGCCTAACCTCCACAGGCCTCTCCCTCAGCTCCCTCTCTCCATGTCACTGGGGTAATTAGTTCCATATTGGCTCTAACACAAAAAGAGATTTCATTCACTTGGTTTTAATTTTCAGTCCTTCCGTCTCCTTGAGCATATATTCTATGAACGGCTAAACAGAAGAATCCAATTAACCTTTCTCTGTACCATTAATTATCCTAGACTCTTGTCTCATCTTTCTCTACATTACCTCTAATTAAGCAGATTCCACACTCTTATAGCTGGAATTTTTTTCATATTGTTGCTCTTATTATTGCACTTTTGTAACCCTCTCTCCTTTTGCCATAGCCTTTTCTAAGATGGAGCAATCAGAACCACAAAGCAACATTCCGGATGCAATCAGTCCACTGGTCTATTATTTTCAGCACTATTTTCCCTTCTCTTACCTTCTACTTCTCACCTAAAATGATGCTGTTTGCTGAATCTATCGGTGTGAGAGGTATTCAAATACTACAATGTAAAAACGTGAAAAAAACAGGCAGGGGCTTTTGTTTTGCTTTTTTTTTTTTTTTTTTGTCTGCTGCTAGAGCAGAAGCAGGGATTTGCATTTTTCTGCTTGCAGCAGTAGCTGAGCTTCTCCTCTGCATTCCCTGCTAAATGCCAGTTCCTCTAGAAGACTTTAAGGACAGCTGGGTGTATCACGCAGCACATGGAAATCACAGTAGTCATGGTTTGATTGGAATCAGCTCATAGTCTTGCGCTGTGACTGCACTGGAGCCACTGCCTTTTTAAAAAACTAGAGCCACCCTATTGGTTTCAATACAATTTAAACCACTGTAGCCAGGATGAAAATCTGACTTTATATCCAAGGTGAGATCTTTTTTAGAAGTATTTGTCTCACTGATACATGTTTTCCCTGTGTTTTGCTTTAAAAAGCTGCCATTTACATACAGTTAGGCAGAGAAGGCAGAGAGATACATTTCAACACAGCATCTCTGGACTGCTGCTGAGGAGGTGCATTCCCCAATCTACCTGAATGACAAGCCTGTACTCTGTGCAAACAAGCCCTCAGCGGGGAGGAGGAAGCCACAGCGTGGCATCACTGAATTTCCAATATTCTACCACTCCTTCCTACAGCCTTATCACCTCACACCTGGTCTCGAATGGGATCACAGCACACAGAATCGTTCTGGCCTTGTTTATTAAACCAGTAGAGACATTTTCAGAAGAACTTTACCAGGTCCTGCGCCTTCAGTACTGTGATCTGTACTGGTGTTGCTGGTGTTGGTTGTGACTCATTGGGAAGAGCTGCAGCAGCGGGCAAGGCAGAGGACTCCTTTCCAGCAGACAGCCCTGCAGGGACCTCCATGGCTCTGCAGGAAAAAGAAAGAGGAAAGAAACCTGAAACTTATCTATTCCTCTCCCAGAAACATCTGCAGGACACAGCAGCCGTGGTTGCTAGCATTATTCAGGGCTTGGCTGTCAAAACACCACTGAAAGCACACAGCTTTGTCAGTGATGAATCTCTCACGAGGAGCAGGGGGAGGACAGGGAGAAACATAATGTGAAAATTATCCGGCTCTGTAAATTTAACCCAGCTGCAGCTCTCGGCTCCTCCGTGCACACGGGAAGGGTTCGGTGTGACAGGCTGCTCTCGGCGGGGCTCTCCCCACCACAAGGTATGGCCCTGGGCTCTCTTTTGCTTCTTGTTTAACTTAAACGAGGGCCTGCGGGGTCGAAGGCCTGTGGCTGCCAGCCCATGCCCAAGCGGCTCCCATGCAGGCCCAGGAGACCCGGCTCCATCCCTCACCACAGGTTTGTCTGCGGACCCTCCGCCCCGGCGGGCGTGAAATTCCTCTGGGGGACACGGCTGGGCCGAGGACCCCCCCGGTTGCCTCGCGCTCCCTCAGCTCCAGCTACCCCAGCCAGGGTGCGGGGTATCGGTGTCTGCCCTGAGGCTGGCAGCCCCCTCAGCGCTGCCTCTCTGCCGCGACCGACGGGCCCGGGGGCCCTCACGCCTCGGGGTGCGGCCTGCAGCCCCGCACCGGCCCCAGGAAGCCGCCGGGGACGCGGGGCGGCGGCGGGGCGCGAACCCGCCACCTACCTGCCTGAGGGGAGGCCCTGCGTCGCGTAACCGTGGCGACGCGGCTGCTCCCGCGAGGCCTCGAAGCCTCGCGAGACCCCTGCCCTTGGAGGGGCGTGTCCGCGAAGCCCCTGCCGCCGCCATGATGGGTGTGGGCAGCCCTTACCTGTGGGGCTCCCCGTGGGGCGGGGGTCCCCCCGACCCCACCCGTAGCGGCTGGGTAGGGGGGTGCTGCAGGGGCACCATGTCCTCCCTACGGCCTGGAGTGCCCCTGGGGAGCCCAGCTGGTGCCCCAGCCCTACTGCTGGCAGGGGCCACAGTGCCCACCCAGCCGCTCACTCACGCCCCACTGAGGGCCCTGAGGGAGAGTTGGGGTCCCCACAGGCCGGGATGGGGTAGGGGCCTCACGGCGGGGGGCTGGCAGGCCCCATGGGGACAGAGGGGAATGGCCCCAGGGGCGTGGGCAGCCACCCCAGCTTCCCCCAGGGGTGCGGTGAAGGTGTAGCTCCAGGGAAGAAGGGGTTTCGGGGGACCCCACCGCCGCCACTGGCGGCTTTTGGGGCGGGTGCCGGACCCCCGGAGCGGGTTGGCCCGTTCCCTGGGAGGGGATGACCAGAATAGCTCCGCTATCTGATTCCTGCTGGAGGGGCCGCGGCCGCTCTCCTCCACTGCTATCTTTTTGGGGCTGACATTTGAGCCCAGCCCTCCCTCGTTGGCAGCAGGATGTGCACCAGAGCTGCCTGGCATCAACAGGCTCCTCCGTCCTCCCCGCCGCCACAGCCGGGGACAAGCAGCGGGATGGTGGGCGGGAGGCGGCGCGGGGGCGGCGGGCGGCGGGGGGGACCCCGGCAGCACCCAGGGAACCAAGAACCAACCCCCTCGCCTGCATCCCGCTCTCCTGCAGCCACCATGGCCCAGCAAAAGGCAGGCACTGCCCCCAAAACCGGCCGCCCCAAGAAGCCTGTGGAGGAGCCGGTGGCGAGGGCACCCGATGTGGACTCACTGGGCTTCCAGGCCATGGACCGCAACGTGCCAGGGCTGTCCCACGTCATCCTCCAGAAGCTCAACATGAAGAGCTATGAGGACTACAAGTGAGTGAGTGAGCACCCATGGGTGCGTGTTCCTCCCCCCCCCCAGCCAAAGCATCCCATGTGTCCCCCCCTGTAGCTGGAGCATCTCCCCTGGCTCATCCCAGTCTCCCAGCTCAGCCTGCATGCAGGGTGCTCTGACAGAGCTCCTGGGTACACCCCTCCACCAGCCCATTTCCCAGCTCCCTTCAGGAAGCCCAGCTCCCCATCCCCACCCAGTCCAGGCCAGGATGCTCTTGGCCAGAGCTAAAAATCCTGGCAGCTTTGGAGGGAGGACATCAGCCCCGCCATGATGGCAGAGCAGTGTGGGCTGGATCCTGCTCATCAGCCCCCATGACATCTGCAGGTCTGCCATGGATGGGAGGAAGAGTGGCAGCGATTTTGGCATCCGGACTTACTTTGACATGTTCCAGAAGATGGAGGACACCTTCAAGTTTTGTGCCGAGTGCAAGAAGCTCCCTAATGCCCTCCCTGACCCCAAAAGCCTCCGACGATGCAAGAGGTATGGGGCAGGAGGAGGTGGTCTGATGGCATGGGGCTGGATCCATCCCCTTGCTTCCAGCCCAGTGGCCAGGGTGAAACTGGGGGTGTCTGGCCCTAATGCCCAACCTCCAGCCACAGGGCACCCCCAAAACAGCAACGCAGCCCTGGGAGGGGGTGGCAGGGAGCCAGGCTCAGCAGGCTGGATCCTGGCCCCCCCCACAGCTGGGCACGCTGCCTCTCTCCCCAGGTGCCAAAATGTGTACTACTGCGGCGTGGCATGCCAGCGTGCCAACTGGCCGCTGCACAAGAAGTTCTGCAAGAAGCTGAAGCTGGTGGCCCTAGATAGGCTGGTGGAGTGGCTCGTCTTCACAGGTAGGGCAGGGGATGCTGCTCCCACGCTGTGTGTCCTCCCTCCAACCTGCCTGATCCCCGCCCTGCCCCAGGCTGCATAGGTCCCGTGAAGGGATGTGGGGTCCCTCCTCCTGGCCCCAGCCCCTGTGGCTGGGTCCAGCACCCCCACAGCCCATGTGGGACAGGCAGCCTGGGCTGTGGGGCCATGTGGCACTGTGACCTCCAACACTTCTCCCTATGCCCCCCCCCAGGAGACATCCCCTTCCCCACAGAGACCTGGACAAAACCTGCCCAGGACGTGAAGGGCTGGGAGGACTGGTTCTCCATGCAGGGGCAGCTGGAGGAGAAGCTGGACACCATCCTGGCCGGGCGGTACATGACCCTCCTCTGGGCCAACGCTGGGAAGCCCCGGCCAGAGGATGGGGAGCTGCGTGAATCTGTCCGGCGGCTGGTCACTGACTTCCACTCACGGCCGCTCACCATCGGATTGGGGCTACGGCTTTTCGGCATCGACCCCCTCGCCAAGGCCCTCACTGTGCATGTGGTGGGGGCATCCCACGTCGAGACCCTCAATGCCCGGCTGACAGACTATGACGAGCTGACGCGCATGTTCCCGGGGCACCAGGGCATGGAGGTGGTAATGGTGGGGGTGGACGTGGTCGATGGACCCATCATGAGGCCACCCCTGGCCATGCCGGCGCCCCAGGGAAGGGTCTATCTCAGCAGCTACAAGGGACTCTACCACGACTTCTGGGAGAGCCATGTGGAGACCAAGCTGGCTGCCCGCCCTGATTTGGTGGTGGGCTTTCACCCGGGTGAGTGACCAAGCTGGCCACCCAGCCCCTCGCCACCCCACTGCCTAGAGCAGGACGTCCCTGGCAGGGTAGTCCCTGAGCACCCTGGCAGCACCTGGGGCCGAGCCTGCTGGTGGCTTGGGTCATGCCCAGGCCTTTGCACCAAGCCGCAACAGGCAGCCAGAGCAGCCAGGGTGACCCCCTGGGGCTTGGCTGCCTTGTCCCACCACGCACTCAGCGTCCTGCCTGTGTCACCCACCTGCCAGTCAACAGGTACAAGCAGCACCCAAAGGGGTCTCTGCCTTCAGGTCTCGGTGTGGTGGCTCAGCCCAGGACCCAGGGCCGGGACTGCCCCCATGGTGGTGGGGAGATTGGACCCACCTTGCTGCCAAACCCTATTGCCAGCATCACCCCCACACCCTGCGGGTCTCCAGGGCGGAGTGGGTGCTGTTAGAGCTGCCTTTCCGCAGGGCTGAGGTGGGCCAGGAGGGAGGTGGGACCCTCACTGCTGTGTCCCCACAGGTTTCCATGCCTGTCCAGACTTGCTGGCGGGCTGGCTGCCCACCCTGCTGCTGCTGCGGGACTACCGCCTGCCTGTCCTCTTCACCGTTTACAGGTGAGCATGGCCCTGCTGCCCCCAGCATACTGGCACAGCTGGCCAGTAATGGGGCCCATCCTCCCCCTCTCCCGGCAGCGAGCAGGAGCTGAAGTCCTCCCTGCAGATCCTGGTGGAGCTTGAGACGCACATCATGGGCTACGCCACCAACCCCTTCGCCTCGCTCCGGCCAGAGCAGGTCTACTCCAGTCCCAACAAGGCACCCGTCTACTGCAGCTCTTACTACATCACCCTGCTGGGGCCAGTGACATTGGCTGTGCCGGGTGCTGAGGAGCTGGAGGATGGTGATGGCTGGCAGGGAGGGGAGTGCAGTGCTGCCGGTGCAGCTGGGAGCATCGCCCCAGGGCTGGGCTGACCCCATGCAGCCAGTGTTGCCCTGCCTACCCGACCCCCAGCCCCTCATGGCCCCATCCTAGGAACCCGTCTCTCGGTACACGGATCAGCGATCCAGCCATCCTTTGCTGCACACATCCAGTCCCAGGGAACACAGCATGCTGGCACAGGCATGGCACCCCTCCATGGCACTGAATAAACCACCACCGGCAGCCGGCTGCCGTGTCTTGAGCTTTATTTCCAAAAAGGCCTTTGTTTTCCCAAAGAAAACAGAGGGCTGAGCCTGTCCCAGCCCCACTTGGGTGGCCATGGCCTCTGGAGGGATGACGAAGGGGACCCCAACTATGGGACCTGCCATCCAACGGGGCTGTGCAACCCCCGGGGTCCCACAGGGAGCCCCAGCCCAGCACCCAGCTGTCACCATCACTGTCACACATGCTGTGCCCCTCTGCCGGTGCCTATCCTGCAGGGTGGTGCTCCAGCATCGCTCGCCAAGCCCCGCAGCTGCTCAGACTGGCACCAGCACCCAGCCCGGCCATGGCACACGGGTACCGGCTGCCGCAGCCCTGCTGCTCATCAGGCTCGGTGGCCCCTGAGGAAACCAGGGTGGGTGGCACTGAGTGAACCAGCCCCTGCAGCATCGCCTGACGCTGCTGGGGACCCACGCTGGCCTGGCGTCCCATCCCTGTGCAGCCAGCGGGCCTGGCCCAGCGATGGTGGCAATGTCCCACATGGGCACCCACGATGGCTCAGGGAGGCTGGTATCCCCCTGGGGCTCCCCACGCCCCGACAGCAGGTCCCTCTCTGAGGTTGGCGCCCGTCGGAGGGGCCATGGCAGTCTGGCCAGGGAGGTGGCACGGTGCAGCACCGCCAGCATCACTCGGCACTGGCGCGTTCCCGCAGCGCAGGCAACGTCAGGGTCTCCGGCGCCGACTTCTTGCGCGGGCGAGTCTTGGGAGGAGCGAGGAAATCGGGGGCCTCGTCGCTGAGGGGGGTGGACGGGGCGCTGGCGGGGGCCGAGTGCGTGGCCGTGGGCTGCCCCACCTCGCTGACCGAGATGGTGGGTGCCACCAGGCCGATGAGCTCGTTGGTGGCCTCCTGCGTCTCCCGCTCGTAGCGCCGCACCTCCTCCATTGTCATCCCTGCCGAGCACAGCCGGGCTTGGGGCCGCTCAGCACGGCTGCATCCTGCACCCCGTCATCCTGGGGCGGCCTGCACCCCACACACCGGCTCCCCCCGAAGCTGGGTGCCAGCAAAGGGACAAGGGCTGGGGACACGCAGAGGGGCAGGGAGGGGGACGCTGGGCAGTGCAGCCAGCCCCCCGCTCCGGCACCAGCCCAGCCAGCAGCGGGGAAGGGATAGACAGACAGCACAGGCAGGGGATGCACGGGGAGGACAGCCAGGCGGGGGGGAACCCTCCGCCACGGGGTGCAGGGGGGGCTCGGTGTGCACTGTGCACAAGCCCCCCTGCCTGCACCCGCCTGCGGGCAGCGCAGCAGGGTCTGGGGTCTCCATCCCCTGCAGGCAGCGTGCGGCAGGGCTGCCCACGCGGCGGGGTTTAGGGGTGCTGACTCCCCAGCTTTTGGTTTGTGGCCACTTGCATCTGAGTCTCGAAGGCCCGGACCTCTTCCAGGGACATGTCTGGAAGGCAGAGAGCCGCTCGCCGGGACGACCCCGTGCCCGCTGCCAGCCCCTGCTGCCAGCACCCGCTGCTGGCCATCGCCAAACCCGGGGTTCCCGTCCCCATGTCCGCACGTGGCAGCTGCCTGCAGCGTGTCTCCCTGCCAGACCGGGGTTGCAGGCAGCGCAGGCAGGGATGCTGGGGCTCCTCTCCCCACCCGCTGCTTCATCCAAGCCTTCCCCAGGCGTGCGGCGGAGCAGGCAGCGTGCAGGGGTGCAGGCAGGCCTGAGGGCACGGGGAGCGGAGCAGAGCAAGCAATGCAGGCAGCAGGTTTGCCAGGGAGGAAGAGCGGGAGCTGCCCGTGGGGTTAGTGGCATCAGCAGTTAAACCCGTAGCCCCCTCCCACCCTGGGGGTTCGGGGTCACCCCGGGGACCGTGTCCCCCACCCTCACCCCCGGGGGCAGCCCCGCGGACTCACCGCACCACTCGTCCACCCAGGCGAAAGCCTGCCGGTGTCCGATCAGCAGGATGTCCCGGATCACCTGTGATGCACTACGGGGGTCAGGATCCTGTCACCATTCCCCCTACCCCGGCCTCGGCCCCCCACCCCCCTCACCTTGTGCACAAACTGCTCCACCCGCGTCTGCAGCCCCCACACCTCGAACTTGACGCTCACCAGCTTGTAGGAGCACATGATGGGCTTGGTGTGCTGACGCCAGCCCTCCCGCAGCGGCCCCCGGCCCGTCTTGGCCGAGCTGAAGAAACGGGGGTCCTGCGGGGGGGCGGCAGAATGGGGCTGTGAAGCCACCCCCGGAGATGGGGGGACAAGGGGATGGCCCCGGGGAACTCCCCTTTGTCCCCATGCGTGCTACCTCCAAGCTGCGGTAGTAACGCTCGGGGATCTCGTCAAAGGCGATGTCCAGGAAGGAGACCTCGTGGTCACCCAGGATTTTATCGCTGCGGAAGATCTGGGGAGGGGAGGGAGGGTGAGAGGCACTGGCCACATGTATGTGTGTGTCCCCCCACCCCGCAATGAGTTTGCCAGGTCTCAGCTGCGGCACCGACTCACATTCTCACTGTCACCGCAGTTGTCCTCGTACTTGGTCTCGATGTAGATGGAGAACTTGGGCAGGAAGGAGCACTGCAGGGAGCAGCCGTCAGCTGGCCCCTGAGGGATGCCTGTCCCGAGGGATGCCCACCCCCAAAGGACACCCAGACGCAAGGATGCTGATCCCCAAGGGATGTCCGTCCCCAAGGACACCCACTCTGAGGGATGCCCACGCCCAGGGATGCCCACCCCGAGGGATGCCCAGACCCAAGGGATGCCCACCCTTAAAGATGCTGACCCCAAGGGACACCCACTCCAGTGCCCCCTCCGCAGCCATGCCAGGTGCTGGGGAAGGGGCCAGGTCTCCCCATACCATCTCCTTACCGTGTACTCTGCAGGGACACCGTGGCACAGCAGCACCGTGGGGTGGCATCGCCGGGTGGCATCATAGGGGAGAGAGGGAGCGGTGAGACCGGGAAGTGGCCACGGCCGGGGTCTCCCGGCAGCCCACCGCCATCACCACCGGAGAGGGGCAGGGTGCCCAGTGGTGCCCGTCCCCACGCCCTGCCCGGGGCTCACCAGTGATGGTGTAGGGGTAGTAGTTCCAGGCCTTCTCCGTGATGTAGAAGATGCGGGGGGTCACCGCCCGTGCCCAGCTCGGCAGTTTGCTGTGGGGGGACCACAGCGGCAGGGGGGACTCCGCTCAGGGCAGAATACAGCTGGCGGGCACAGCCCTGCCCAGTGCCACCCGGCCCTGCTCCACTGAATGCAGCCCCCACAGCACGGCCCCAGCTCTGGGACCCCCATCCTCTCCCCAGGGACCCCACCTGCTCCCCAGGACCCTCACTTCCACCCCAGTGCCCCTCCTGCACCCTCACCTCCACATCCAGGATCCCCCCAGGGACCCTCACCTGCACCCCATCACTCCCCAGGGACACCTGCCGCCTCCCCAGGACCCTCATCTGCACCCCAGCACACATCCCCCCAGGGACCCCTGCCACCTCTCCAGGACCCTTACCTCTACCCCAGTGCCCCCATCGTCTCCCCAGGACCCCCACCTCCTCCCCAGGCACCCTTACCACCTCCCCAGGCACCCCCACCCCTTCCCCAGGACCGCTTCCACCTTCCCAGGACCAAGACCCCAGGATGCCCCCATTGCCCCCAGGCACCCCTGTCCACCCTACCCAGCACCCCACAGCTGCCCACGCTCCCAGGGCAGGATCAGGCCCGCAGGGGAGCCGGGAGGTGAGTTTTGATTAATTTGCAGGCGTTATAAATACCATCCCCGAGAGGGGAATCGTGAGTGCTATGGCTAAAAATAGCCCGTCTCACGCCAGCGACTCCCTGGGCGGGGGAGCAGCCGATGCCCGCACCGCGGTGTGCCGCAGCCAGTGGCGGGGACACGGGGACAGCAGCACTGGGTGCCAGCGGCTGCCTAACGGGCACCCAGGGCTGCACATGGGGACACCCCCAGGGACAGGCTGAGCAGCAGCCTGGGCATCCCTGCCGAGCCCTGCGCCGCAGCTCCGATACCCGGAGATGGGTGCCCACTGGGAGATGCAAGATGGGTGCATGCCCTGAAGATAGGTGCACCCCAGGAGATAAGTGTGGCCCCCAGAGAGGGGCGCACCCCATGGAAGATGGGTGCACCCTGGGAGATAGCCCCCACAGATGGGTGCAGCCCCTGAAGATGGGTACAGCTCCTCAAGATAAGCACACCCCAGGAGATGGGTACACCCCGAGAGATAGGTGCAGCCCCCAAAGTTGGGCGCAGCCCCCAAAGATGGGTGCACTCCAGGATTTGGGTACACCCCTGGGAGACAGGGACAGTCCCTGAAGATGGATGCAACCCTGGGAGATAGGTGCAGCCACACTGCAGGGTGTCATCGACCCAGAAAGGATGTTCCCAGGGAATTTTGGAGGGAGGGATGGAGCCACCCCGATGCCTCCATGCTCTCCACCGTGGTGTTGCCGCACAGAGCTGGTGCACCGGGGCCCCCTCCCCACCCAGCACCCCTTACCGGAGCTGCAGCCTCACCTGGAGAGGTGGACGCGCTTCTCGGTGAACTGGCCGGGGCCGTGGATGGGGTCCTCGTGGGGCTCGTTCTTCACCACCTCCACACCCTCGCCCTTCTCGCTCTCCTGGTGACTATGCTTGCTGATGGTGTAGAGCTGCCCTACGCGGTACTGCAACCACAGCGCCTGGCCTCAGCGCTGCCATCCCCTGCCCCAGCACCCTCCCAGCAGAGCCAGTGCCCGGGATGGGCTTCTCTTTGCCGGGCTAACGGGTTTCCAGCTGCACCACTGAGAGGGGAAACTGAGGCACGGAGCAAAGGGGTGACAGACCCCGAGCTGTGCAGTGGGCAGGGGTCTCCCATGGCACCCTGTTTGACCCCCCCTGCCCCTGGGCTGCTCCAGCACCCAGGCGAGGGCCAGATGCTGCCCTCCTGGCTCTTCCCCAGTGTCTGAGTGCCTTGCAGAGTGCCTGGAGGCTTTCTGCTCAGCAAGCTACCTGGGAGCCAGAGAAAACCATATATATAGAGAGAGAGATATGTGTATATGAATATATATGTGTATGCATGTGTATTTGATGACGCAGCCACGCAATAAGTGTTTTATTGTTCCGCTGAAGATCCCATCCATCACCCTAACTGCCAGCGGGATCTTATTGCCCCTCTCTGCCTAATTGAAAACCTTCCCCAGGTGCGAGCGCAAAACTGGTGCCTGGGGAGTGCTGGTGCTGCCCAGTGTGGGCACCGCCACCGCGGATCCCCGCTCCCTGAAACGGCCCCGTCGGAACCAGGCGCTCAGGAGCGACCTTTGGCCAGGGATGCCACCGGCTGCCGGCTATCGCCGCTGTTTGCCGACAGGGATTCAGGCTCCCTGCTGGAGCTGGGATTGAGCCTGTGCTCCCCATCAGAGTAGCCACCCCAAGTGCTGCGGTGCCAGGGGCACCCAAAACCCTGGTGCCCTTTGCCTGCCGGCTCATCCCACGGTCCTGCGACTGGGCTGCCCCTGAGCAGCCCCCAGTGCTACCATTGGGCTCCATGCCCCAAGGTCACCCTGCCCAGGGATGGGACAACCCCCCTGTCTGCACCCCAAAACACATTTCAGCACCCGGCACAAAGCATCCCGAGCCCAAGGGCCGTGGCCAAAGCACACCTTGGCAGCTCAGCCAAGGCAGATGTTCCCTGCCACAAACAGTGCCACGAGGGGACGGCAAAGGGGGCTGCCGTGTCCCCCAGCCCCTTGCTGGGCAGGGACCCAATCCCCTGGCACCCCACTGCTGTGGGTACAGGACCCCCACCCACAGTCCCCTCCATCGGTGGGTCCCTGCAGCCGAGGTGTCCCTGGCACCCATGGCTGGGGGCTCAGGGCTCCCCCCGCCTCTGCACCCCTCTTCTCAGCTGACACCCCCCTTTCCTGCCTGGCCCCAGGGGCACAGGCAGCCCTGGCCCCCCCACTGCCCCCCACTCACCTCCTCGGTGGTGAGCGGCATGCAGATGCGGTACTCCTTGATGAGCATGGTGGCACGGGCAGGGCAGGCAGGGCAGGCAGGGAAGGGGTCAGGCAGAGGCGTTGGCGTTGGCGGGGGCACAGCTCATTCTGGGGGGACCCGGAGGGTGCGGTGAGAGTGGGGGGACGGCGCTCGGCAGCCTCCCACGCTCCCATCCCATCACCCCATGCTCGAGGCGGCCGCCCTGCTCTCCGCACGGTGACTTCATGAGCTGTTGCCATGGCAGTGGCGTGAGGTCACCGGTGTGAGAAGCAGCCTGGGTGTACCCTGGCTGGGGACTCCCCAGCACCCTGAAACTCCCCTGGTGTTAACCTCTTCCCTGCCAGGCAGTCACCCACTCCCCTAGGCAGCTGCCTTGGTGCATGTGTGTCCCTGCAAAATACGGTGACATCCTTTCGAGATGCCACATCCACACCCGACTGAGGTGGCTGGCACAGCGAGAGGGTTGCATGGGATCAGACCTGCCGATGCTCGCAGGGACCCCCCCATGGGCTCCCATGCTCTAGCCTGCCCCGGGGACCTGCTTCTGGGGAGCACCCAGGTCATGTCCCTGGTGTGGGACATCCCTTCCCAGGGCAGGAGCTGGAGCCCCCACCCTGGGGCTGACCCCAGCACCCATCCCAGCCAGCAGCGCTGCCAGGCTGCCCCACTCACCCTCGCTCCAGCCGCGGCTGGGGATGCTCAGGATGGGTAATGGAGCAGCTCAGGGGGCTCCTGGCCGTGGCCCCCAGCCCCGAGGGGCAGGGAGGGGATGTGACCCCCCCAGGCAGTCACCCTGAATGAGGGATCAGGCCTTGGAGGGGGCAGATGGGGGCTCGCAGGGGGTCTTGTCTGGGGGGGGCAGCTTGTCCAGCTGGGGACACAGGGGCGTCCCTGGGGACACAGGGGCACCCTACTGACAAGGGAGAGGGCTGGGTGCTGGTGCCGGGCTGCGGGAAGCCGAAAGCCCCCCCGGGGTGCTCCTCACCCAGCCCCGGGACCCCGCTGTCCCGGGCCGGGGGGCAGAGGCAGCCCCGGCATACGGCAGGGCGTGGTGAGCGAGGGGGCACCCCGGGGACCCCGGGACCGGGGAGCACGGGGCACCCCAGGGGCACCGCGTCCTCTGCCCCA